TATACAATAAAAATATTTCTTACCTGAATTTTTCCATGGAAAATTAATGAATATGAGATATGATACAATTCTCCCAGGTTAATGGTACCCTGGTGTTAGTAATTTCATTTGGTGGACTTTATTTTATTTGCTTCTATAAGTATTAAAAATACAAACTGTCCTTTAGGTTAGAATGGAGGTCAATTTATTAGATTCATAAAACAGGAGAAAGGAATTATGAACTGAAAGGGAAAAGTTTAATGTAATAACTAAAATAAAAGTAACTTAGTATGATTATGCATAAACATTACCTCTAAGGAATATAGTTATTTCCACAAAAGGCAACTCAGAAACACAACTAATGGTAAGTTTATTGATAGCTTTGTGAAGTTACTATTTAGATGTTATGCCTTTCATGACATAGATTAGCCAAAATTATTTCAAGAAATATGTTCATCTAACCTTTGAGTTGGCACCTTATCCTGGCTATTCTCTGCCTTAAGACGTAGAAAGCTGCAAAACAAATGTCCAAAAAAAGAAATTCCAGATCTTTTCTCTGTAAGGAGGCTGGACTTGGGTATTTATCAACTTGTTACATTCCCGGAGACTTACACATATTCAACTCTCAGTGTTCTTCTGAAACAAAAAAAAAAAAATCTAGGACATGTTTAAAATAGTAATATTTTAGTCACCATTTTGTCATTAAAAAACATTTTGTAACAAAAATAGTTCCCAATAATTGAAGTTGTGCTATTCTTTCATAGTCCAAATTCTACATTAAAATATTTCAGACCTTTTGTGACACTGTACCTTCCAATCCAATTTTTCATTTTCAGAATATTAATTTTTGGTTCCAAGAGACAGTATCCTTTTACTTAAATGAGTGTTGGACAAAATATCTGAAAAAAATTAAAACTTTTGGTCAATTAGTAACCAATGCTGGTAGGTTGGGAATTGACACATCTTCACTTACCTGTTCCTTCCACACTGTATGTTCCCCTTCTCCAGCCTTGAGGAAGAAATATTAAGGTTTTTTCTTTCCTTCCACAGCATTATCTTCTGCATGGCTGCTTTGGTTGTGGATAGCAACAAGAATTACCAAGAAAGCTCAGCCATTTCATGTGAAGATACATAAATAACCCAGTTTAATGAAAGTAAATGGAAGAAACCTGAAACGCTGCTAATAATGGTCAGGGTTCGACTGGCCAAGAAATCCTAGAAGTAAGGAAAGAGATGATCTTATGATTTCTCTCTTAGATGAACACTTTCCCTCTTTAAGGCATAGAATATTCATTTTAACTTTCAATTTGTGTATTTATTTGTATAATTTAAAATAAAAATGGAGCCGTCTTTTGGGTAATGTCAGAAGAAAAAAAAATCTAAGTCCAATTTTATTCAATTAAAGTAATAATTTAACTAGCAATCCAGAATCACTGCTCTGTATTTTTAAAAGCACACATTGCACCTACTTGTTAGAGGTTTTTTTTTTCATGTTGGTTAGGTTTATAATAAATTAGTTTTTTTTTATTGCTGTTGTTAAACTTTAAAAGAACTCACCATATCTCGATATTGACACATTTCTTAAACTATATCAGGGTCAATCTAAGCAAAAAAACTGAAAATAGGTCAAAATATAAATTGCAAATTATATTCTGGATCACATATTAAGGAAAATTGTTAAGTCTATGTTTATATGAGAAGAGAAAAATATAAAAGGATACCGTTTCTTTAATATTCTTTAATTGCCAATTTTGAGTAATCTAATTTATCAAGAAAAATATATTAAATGATTTTAAATAAAAGTGAAACAATAAAGAATAGCAAACATCATTATTTTCTAAGTAGTCATGTTAGTACCAAGAAGCCAACAGTTCTGTATAGCTTATTTGCATCATATCTTAAAGGTGGGTCACATTTCTTCTACTTAACATAAATTAGCCTTGACACACACAGATTTAGTAAATTTTATGGTATCAGTATGTGTATCCATTAAATAAGACTTCTAGCATGAAATTTTAACAATGTTCCATATTTTAAAATTTGTCTTTTAAAACTATACAAAACTGCATTTTAAATCAAAGCAATGTTAAACCTGGAATAGATTAGTTCCAGGAAGTTTCTGGGATCTATTCTCTATCAATGTATAAGGAAATTTTCAGAGACAACCATCACCACAATTTTTGTGAAAGTTACAAAAAATAAATGCCCTACATGTATTTTTTTTGTGGTATAAACTCCACTGTGAAAGCCACTAAAACAGGATTCATTAGCAGCACGTAACAGAATAGAAAAATCTGTCCCATTTTCTCCTGGCAATCTGCTTCCTCCACAGCCATTGTAAATAGCCACAGTAGTAAATACACGCACTGTTGCCAGCGAAAGCACTCAGTTACAGTCTATGATCGACTTGCCCGAGAACCACTGCTTCAGATAAGGGGTCTCAGTGACACAGTGAGGGTTCTCAGTAGTATTAGGCATAGTTAAAAATAATAAGCACTCTGATGAAGTTGTGACTAATACAAACTACAGAAACTAATAAGGGGGTTACTTTTTCTTGCCTGTAAAACACTGGTTTACAGATTTGGAGTCAATCCTGGGCTTTGGACAGTGTAAGAAGATAAGGAATAAAAAAACCTAAGGAACTAATAAGCCCACTTGTTATCCGAAGGTATGCCTGTCTTCTGGTGTACAGCTGAATTTACTGTAAAAGATTGTAAAATGCCCAAATGTTAGGCCAAGCATAACCTTTGAAAAGGAAATAATAAAATACTTTGGACTAAGTTACTGATGAATTTACACAACCCAGACAGGAGTCACACAGCCTCTTAAGCAAAGAGCACAACATGAAACATGCACTTCCTTACAGATGACAAATGCCAGGTACATGCAAGAAAGGGAAAGGTCCTCCCTGACATCATGGTACTTCTGTCTCTCAAGCCTCATCTTCAGCTAGGAAAAGTAGCTAAGTCTAGAAAGTTCCCCACAGCCCAACCTTAAATTTCATGCTGTATTTCTCATTGTCAAACAAGTTGATACTAGCCTGGCAAACTCTATTCATAGACAACTGTTCAACTCTGCAGGTTTATAGCACCAATATCCAGGACAACAGATCCCACGAATAGCATTCTGAGTAAGACTTTGGATGAGTCCAACATTCAATCTACTACTTTACTGGTACTAAAGCTACAGAATTCACCAGACTTCCTTACAAGATCAGAGAAGGTTTAGCAGATCTACAAATTATTTTTTCACAATTTTATATTTTCTTTCCCCAACTTGTTTCAAAAAACATTTTAACTTTAGGATACGAAACCTCACATGGGAATGTCTTAATTCTTGGTCATACATGGACACCAAGATACAATGAATCTTTTAATTCATCAGTCATTTTAAAACTCAATCCGAAGGACAAAGGACGTTGAAAGCACCACTACCTATTCAAAACACCTGAAATAGTTATGGAATCACATGGAACAATTTATCCAGTAGAAACTGTTATCACAGTAAGTGTATATAATATAAAATCCACTCCAAACACCCATGTACTTTAAAAAAACATAACTAGGCATGAGCTGCAATTTGTGTTTTCTAGTATTTGCTATTTTGTTGGCATGTAAACACTTGGCAGATAATGACCAAGTACCTATAAAATCTTAATACTGAAATAACACAGAAGGTCCCAGAGGCTTAGAAAAATATTTTGGGTGGCAGGAAGCTTACATTTGGAAAGTCTACCTGTGGAGTTACTTCCTGTAAATTTAGCAGCACATTTAGGGTCTCTCATAGAAACTGAGTTTGAGAACCCTGATATATGAAAACAAGGCTTAAGATTCTAGAAAAACAACACTGTTTTGGGCAAAATAAGCATAAATCTAAAAATCCCAATTGTTTCTTCCTTTGTGCACATTAGCACATATTTAAATTGTGATGACATAGTTCTTAAAATTTCAGGAAGTCAACAGTATCTACAAAAGGCAATCTCAATCTTGTGATGTGATGATGTTATTATAGGAAAACAATGTCAGTTCTGGAGAATTTGGATCATTAATTTACCACGATCAACAAGATATTGTCCAAATGAAGTGTTCTGGTTTAATGTTTAGTTGGCTCTAGATTACCTGCATGCATATCATCTATGACAAATCCTTAACCAAACTGGCTCTCCCCTGACATCTAGTACCTACCATGGCTGGCTGCAGCCTTTAGTTAATAAATGGCAGGAAATGAAGGCCTTTAATTCAATATAACTAGGGAGAAACTTGTTTCTTCTCCCAAAATCTATATTCTAAAGCTAAGAAACCATTTTGATTATTCACCTGTTTTTCCATCATGACAGTCAGGAATAACAAGTTGACTTAGCAGCATTTCATCAGAATAAGTTAAAACTGAAATTCTTGGAGAATCTATGAAAGAATATAGGATCAATTCTATTATGACCATAATTATATATTTAATTATGCATTAGTAGCAATTCAATGATGAAATCAGAAAACTTAAAAGGAACATTTAGTGCTTTAAAATGGAAGGTTTATTTATATCTGATATTATTTAACTGAACTGTATATCTTGTAACTCACCAATTTTTTTAGTAACTTGGAATACATTTTGCAAATAATTTATCCTGGTAGAGTCTTAGGAATGCTCTGTCAATTACATTAGGCCTCTGCTACTAGTATTTTTCTATAATCAGTGACTGGTACTGAAATTTTTTCAAGCCAAAGTATCTTGGCTACATCCTACTATCTTTGAGAACTGGTTATTTATTTGTTCCCATGAAGTGGAAAATCTTGGCCCTGGCAACGTAAACTCAGCTCTGCTCCAGGCTGATACGAAGTGACACTTCTCAGACAGGCTACATTCTTGACTGACCCTGATCTCGATGAAAGGCATTCAAAGCCCCTTCTGTGCTTCTCCCTTGGAGATACCCTCTGCATTGGTGCCCTCTCAAGACACACATCAAGCTATTCCTCTGTTTTGAGAGATTCTCCTAGGGCGTGTGTGCAGTGGGGTCCCAGGTTCCCTGCCCCCAGGGCTTCCCAATTGCCTGAGCATCAGCCCTTCCTCACACCCCAGGGAAAGAGAGTTAAGCCTGGGTCTGGGTGGGGACACAAGTGTACTTACCACAGACTGCCTGGAGTCTATCCGAGCCTAAGTGGCTTAAGTCAGGCGGGCTTCCACGAGATCCAGGTGAACTAGGGTAACAACTAAGGGTCATATAGGCTCCGTGCACACCTGTGACCATAAGGAGCTTTGAGGGAATGAGCACTGGGCAGGGATGGTGCTGTTTCTCAGTTCACTGGCCTTCAGTCCATGTAACAGCATAAGTAGGATAAATGATGACTGGAAGCAATGTTTGTATTTCATCTCTTATCCCAAGTCATAATTTGCTTGGAAATAAGAAAGTAGCAAAATTGCTTATATACTGATGAAAACAATAACTCATACAAAGTCGATATAAGCAATTTTCCCACTGATTTCTTTGCAGAACCTCCTTATCCTGGATCATAAGAGACACCTATCTGCACTCTATTCACAATATGCCTCTGGATTACCAACTCCATCAACTGATGACTGGTCTCTAAGATACATGGACTAAAAAGAAAAAATATATACATATATGGACTGGCCTTTAATTAACAATACAGCAAACTTCGGTCAGCATTTCAATCCCATTATCTACTTACTCGCAAGTAAGAAACCATTGGCCAACTGGTAAAAATTACAAATGTTTAAGCCATTTAGTCCCATATAAAAAGTTCTCTTGCAGAAATACAAAAACACAAGCAAAACAATGTTTTTTTCATTGTATGTTCAAGGTTACTTATTTTAGAATTGTTCGTATTTAGTAAAAGACTAGAATCAATATAAATGTCCAGCAATAAGAAACTGGTTAATGAAATATGGGCTAGTTATACACTGGAATACTATAAATCCATAAAAAGGTGAGCAGGCTCTTCATGTACTGATGATAAAGAGAGCCTTTCAAGATGTATTGTTAAGAAAAAGAACCAATGTACAGAACAGTGTATAGAGCATATTTTGATTTCATAAAAGAGATAAGGGAGGAGATGTATAGGAATTTGCCGTAAGTATGTAAAACATTTCAGAAAGGTACACAAAAAAGCTGCTTATAGTTATTGCTCTGAAAAGGGGTATTTGAGGAAATTAATGCCTTTTCTCTTACAAATAAATATTTTTAAAAGATTGATGGGAACATTTTATAAACCTGCACAAAATTGGTGGGAAAGGGGCAACAGTATCTCTGTGTGGTGGTAGGGAAGGAGGGGGGAGACCATTAGCACGCCGCTCTCCTCTCTCATCTCCCCCGTGATAAAGGCCCAGCCCTGTGATGAATATGTTCCATTACTCACTGCAAAATGTTGCATAAAATCACTCAGCATCACTGGATTATCACTTTAAAAGCATCCAGTTGATTCAACTGGCTCAAAAATGCATATAGCTTGAATTCTACAGATAAAAAGCACCATGCAGAAATGCTGTCTATTACACTGATGTAATGGGGGAAATGGGGAAAAAAGCATGCCTATATTTTCAGGACTTATCAGAAAGTTTCAAGGAGCAAACCCAGTGTTGTTTCTGCAGCCAGAAGTGCCTCCTGGTGCAGCGCACGTGCACATGAGCTCTTCTCTCCAGCGGCAGAGCCCAGTGGCAGGGATTTGAAGGCAGCTCAAGCACTTACTTCCCTTTGTCGTGACCTCCCAGCTTGCAAAGTACTAAAATGTCTAATAAGCTATGAAGGTTAAGACCTGTCCAGATGAACTTTGTGAGGGGCTCTTAGGAAATAAGTAAATCGTCACAGTATTATATAAAGATCAGCTTTAGTGGGGGAAAAGAATGAAGGACCGAAGTAATTTCTGTGAAACTTTTCTTTCCCTTACACACACTCAGAACTCCCTGCTTGAAGAGGTCAAACTGCTTTCACCTTAGTTTGGAATCTACATTCCAAGACCACTTGAAGTTACCCAAAGTATATGGTGTTCTTAAATAACCTTTCCATGGAAAGTGCTGGTTGAAGAATCTTAATAAAAAACTTCACTTTCCAGGGACATGGCAATTCAGGTGTAGTGCAGAGAGTAGTTATGATTGCCCACTGCCTTACTTTTATTCCTACCTTAAAAAAAAGAAAGACAGAGAAAGAAAGAACCTGAGTCTACATTCTCACCCAAAAATTAGAGAAGGAAGCTAATAAACATTAAGACAGTCAAGTGTGTGTGCTCAGCTCCAGGAAGCTCTCCCAGGACCTGCAGCAACCTTCCGTGTGGCTCTGGGCAACACAACCTGCCTTGAGACCCCCAGTTATTCCTGGGGTACATGCCACTGTGCAGGACAGAAAAGCTTTATCTATAAAATGCTCATTCCTGTCCAGTGGGATTGCCATAGTTGTTGACTACAAAGGGAAGCTAGTCACCAGGCACAGCCTCCTTCTGGAGATACTGTGTGGCCTTCAAAGACAACTCCAGTATTTATTTACTCTTGATGATTTTAGCATTCAAAATCTAAATAATCCAATAAAGGTATAACCTATATAATTTTGTGACTAGTGACAGGAAGCCAATGACCAGCATAGGGAGAAAAAATTAATAAATCATGTTTCATTTATGAGGCTGTTTCTGAACCCAGGTACAAGTAAGGAATGAAACATGAAACTTAAATGTTCCATTTACTAAATTAAATTTACTTGCATAAACTAAGCCTTTTCCTTTGAAATAAAAAAGAATTAATTTAACAATTTGCTCATTTTTCTTTCTACAATCATTAGACAATTATTTGACAAGTCCAAAATAACTTCAGCATGAATTAGTTTCTCAGTCCCTCTGTTGAATTAACCTGTACATGGATCTAACATTGATAAGAATTCAAAATTTTCACTTTACATGACATCTGTACAGTTGTAACCTTTTCTAACCTCAGGGAGGAGGTGGAAACAAGGTTTAGAACTAATAAAGCAAAATTGAACTCTAGGTATAGGTTTTATATATTTCCAAAATCTCCAGAGAAACATAAAACCATCTGCCTTTTGCCTGGTTGTAAGGAAAAGTGATACAAAACTCTAATTCACATAATTTCCTTCAGAAACCACAAATTTCTCACTGACAGCCAAAGAAGTCAGAAACTGAAGAGTTTTATTGAAACCTGGAACTACTTGTATTTTGAGTTTTTCTTCACACCTCTATTAAGTGCTTTCAACAGAAACACTGTTGTCATAGCCACATATACAGCAAAATCTCCAAATAAAGAAAAAGACAACCTTATAGAAATACAGTATCTAGATCCTATGCACTCTTTTCTACAGTAAGGAATTTCTCAGATGGATTTCAGAGCTGCAATGCACCTTAGAAGTCTGCTTGTAAAACAGGAAAACTGCAGCTGAGAAATGTTAAACAGCTAATCAGATATAAAAAAGGCCAGGGCTCAATGCAGGTGTCCCAATTGTCTAGTGCTTTTAGTGAAGAACTGGTTCCATGGCATGCACAGCTATTTAAATTAAATATACAAAGTCTGGGATGTCTTTATTTCAGAGATCTCTGCTTGGTAAGAATAGAGAAATTGTTAGAATAATTGGAATGAAGTGTGCCATTTATATGATGAAAAAGTTGAGAAACAGAATAATTATAAAGCAAGATACACACATTCTGTGACAATCTGAGTAAGGTGCTTTGTTGTAAATACATAACCATCAGTGTGTTAAGAGCACACATCAAGAATTATTTCACCTTACAGTAAAGAAGCTACATCAACAGTCAAAAGGGATAAAGCCAAAGACAATTAAAAAACCAGAGATCACAGTGTGAGAACAAGTCAGGAATACAAAGCAAAGAATCAACTAATGGAAAGGAGGTCAGGGTGTGGCCTGTAAGGGAACTAGGAAAACAGCCCCTCACCCCCAGTGCCCCATTTCTGGGGTAGATCATGCTCCCCCACAGGCAGACCAGAAAGCTGGAGTACATGTTGGTGGCCCAGGCAAGAAGCAGGAGGACAGCTTCCTATACCTGTGTGCACAGCCTCTGCTTCTTCCTAAGCTTCAGAGGGAGAGATGGGAAGTCTGGCTGAGTGTGGCTTCCTGGTTAGACACAGTGAGCCAGGGCAGAGGCTGAGCACCACAAGCCCCTGCAAGGTGTCCTCCCCCAGCAAGTCCGTGAAAGTGGGGAGGATGGAGTGTGTGACAATGAAAGGCAGCACTTTGTGTGTAAATACTTAGAGCTGACTCCCATGAATATTGAGCCAATGTCTCACGTGATGCTAAACCAAATGGAATAAGCACTCACACAAGGGCATGAGATCTGATACAGAGAACAAGGAGGGCACCACCCCCATCCCCGCAATTTACACATACATCCTCAGAGGGATAAATTGGGACGTTCTGTGTACAGCTGGGGAATAGTTTCCTTTTTCTTTGCAGGACTGATGTGAAGGAAAATTCCAAAGTGAATCATTCCAAAAACCGAGAACCAGGGCACCTTTGTAAGGAAGGGAGAATGCTCCTCACGGGAAAGAACCCAGATTATCTAAGGGTCAGAAAGGCAAAAACATTTTTCACTTTAAATTTCCCAGAAGTTCTTTGGAATTTTTATGGGTGATCCATTACCACGTTATTGTTCATGAACAGCAGGGCATTTTCCTGGAATAACGTGTTGATGAAGGTTTTCATTTCACAAAATCTTTTGTTAAAAACTAATCAGGATTTTTCCATTTGTTCTTAACAAGCCTTTTTGATGCTGTTCTTCCCACTTGGAGCTGACCTCTCACCCCACATTCCTCTACCTGTTTATAGACAAACAAAAACAGAGGGAACTCTGAGCTGACAAGAGCCATTCAGACCCTCTGAAGTCCTAGAAAAATGAAACTCACCCAAGGGAACATCCATCTTTGTGCTCATTTTTACAACTTTGCCATCTGCCATATTAATGGTAAAGATCCACCTAGCCCATTCTCAATAAAGGCATTTCATTTTACTGTAACACAGAGGACCTAGGAACCATTTTGTATTTTGGCAGTATGAATGTAAAAAAATACATGTGTCATGCCTAGAGAACAAAGATTCTGACAGCACGAGATGTTCAATCCTGTAACACTGTCTCCATAGCAGTAGTCCTTTATATTTCTTTAATTTTACCAAATACGCAGCATTTACTCTGGGCCAGGAATAGTTTTAAGTGCTTTACAAATAACTCATTTACAACTCATATGGTCCTATGAGGTATTGTGCTATTTTAGATCCACTTTAGAGATGAAGAAAATTAAGCACAGAGGTTAAATGACTTGCTCAAGGTCATATAATAAGAGGTGACACTGGAATTTAAACCCAGGCAGGCTAGCTCCAGAGCCCATGTTCCTTCATATGCTGTCCTCTCAAACTTTCACCAAATCAAAGTGAAGATAAACTGTGATCTGTACAGGACCATCTTACACATTTTTACAACACTACCATTTCAATAATTAACTCATGTCATATTGCAGCTTCCTCATATTCTTGAGGAGTAACAAGAAGGAAAAGATAAATACTATCAAATATTATCAAATACTATAAATACTATCAAATTTGCCCACTTTGCATTCTTTTGGAAACAAAATGAAGGTACAGAAGTTAATGAAATAGTGTCCCATATTTGCTCAGAAAGCAACAATGCATAAAGTGAAACAGTAGGAAATTGCTTGGATGTTTACATTTTCTAAGGCCACAGTAATTTGAAAGGTCTGTACACTCACTCAAAGTCAGACTTGCCATTCTGGTGGATACTAGTGAAAATGTAATTACATGGTAAAGAGACATGGACAGCTCCTGGAGGTTCTTTCTGGGAAATTCCACCATCAGCTGACCTCTAGGAGACAGAGGAATTTTCTCCTCGCAATTCTTTCAGCACATCTGGCGGAGAGCATCTGTCCTCCTATGCCTCTGCCTCCAGGTACGTGCACCCGCTGTGTTCAGGGCCCGCCAGCAGGCAGCTTGTCCTGGGTGGGGCTGGGCACCTGCACATACCCAGAGCACGTCCACATTCACTATGGGATATCTGTGACTTAGGGCAGCAAAGAAGGAGGAAACCATCTATCTCCATTCCTGCAAAGAAACTACTCATTTTTTATTTGGGAAAGGCCTGTGTCTTGTATGGGCTAAGAGCAGGGTCCTCTCCTTACCCTCTGATTGCCAAAGCCTGAGTACTCTTCAGATCCTGTTCCTGTGGCCTCCAGCTGTGCAAACACTTCTGACATCGTCGTAGGACTAGCAGAAGACTATATTCCACCAGGTAACACTCTTCTTTTTGACCATCTCCCCTTAACAATGTAAACTAACCAGTGGGGGACACATTAGTTTGCCCAGTTCTTTCGTTTACCAGCAACTGGAGTTACTGACCTCTCCCTTTACAAAAAGATGCAACGACCCAACTGTGCAAAAGGTCTGGCCCCGTCGCTTGCAGAAAGCAGGCAGGCAAACATTAGTTCCTGTTACCTAACCAGGGTAACGTCCCCAACCAGGGACGTCAACCTGTGACTCTACTCTCCCTCCTTCACAAAGTTAATGACAGATATCGTGCGGAATTCTCAAAGATTACAATAGCTGAGGAAACTCCTAGTGTTTCTACCTGCTCCCTCACACTGCCAACACATCTCTAAGGATGCTCCTCCTTTTCCAAACCCAGCCTTCCTAACTGCACTTCTCTAGTCCTCTAAACCCCTTTCTCACTAGCAATAACACAGTGGCTTATATGGAACTCAGCTTAGGTGCCCTCATCTCACCAGACATCCCAACTTAGCACTCTAAAGATGCCCTAGAAATTTACTGGATCATTAGCAGATGTTTTTGTAGGGTATGTAAGATAAAATTTTGAGATCCAAAAAGAAATGCTAGGAATAAATTTCTCAAACTTCCATGCTGCATCTCTGATTTCTACCATTAAAATATCCAGAGAAGAGGTAAAAATCAATGTTCTGATTTGGCACTTAATACATGATGCTGCTTACTTAGAGAACTTAATAATGATGTTTTTCTCAGAGGTGTCCAGAGGTATAATCTATTTTTTGATTATAGTGGGTGGTCCCTTGAGAACACAGTCAATACAATTTCACTTCAAAAAAAGATTTACAAATAGGCCACTTTCCACAACAGCTATGGTAAGGATTTATAAGTGCTATGAAGTTCAGTCTGTTTAGTGTAAATATAGTCTAGACTCATTATCTTACCCCCATTTCAGAGCCTGGAGCAAGGAAAAGAGTAAGCGGGATGAGCAGACAGGAGGTGGAGATATTGGGGAGAAATGCTAAAATGAGCATCCTGGGTGGCTCTCTGTGCATAACAAAACTAATACCTTACTCCAAGGGGCTCAGTTAGAAACGGGGCAGAATAAGGAGTCAGGAAAAGAAAATTCCCATGTCAGAACCACACCACCAAGCCTTGCTCAGGAATGAGCCCACTGGTGTGCAGAGTGAAGCCATGAATGACCGTGGAGAGCCCCACCTCCGAGGACGCGGAGGTCCCGGGGGGATGATACTCACGCTGACACTGTCCCCATGACCGGCGGGCCCAGCCCCAGCAGCAGTCAATCCTCCCACCGTAACGACACAGGCCAATTGATGACACTATTTGTCTGGGCCACCTATCAAACAAAAAGATTAAAAATAAATACATTTTGAAGTTAAAATTTCATTTCCTCTTTGTTATAATTTCAGAATAAAAAATTTAAATCAATATCCAACAGTTTTTTAGGAACTCCATCACGTCTGCAGAAATTTAAGGATGAAGGAAATAGTTCTGTTATGATTTAATTTCACATTTCAGACACTAACACACACACACACACACACACACACACACAGACACACACAGGACAGGAATAGGAGAGGAAAAGGGAGAGGAAGATCTTTTTTCAAATTGAAATAGCATCAGCTAAAAACCGAGAATTCTCAAGGCTGCCACTCACAGGTTGGTTTCTGAAGTTTGAAATAAAACAGATGCCTCATGGAGGACACCTGTTACTGGAGGAAAAACTTGATCAATTTCATCATAAACTGAGATGATATAAAACATGTAAAACAGAAAGAAAAACATTTTCTGCCTTACATTCTTACCTTATAAAAAGATTTGGGAAGGAGCAGAAAGCGGAGAGTTTCCTCAAACTCAAATGAACCAGAACTCTTTTTGAGATATGACTCTGTGGCTGAAAAAGTTCCCAGAAAAAAAAAAAAGGACTAGGAAAAGAAGTCTGCTTAAAACGGAGAGTTTAAAGTGCAGCTACCATCTCAAGTTTCCTTGTGCTTTGAAACTTCCTTGAATCAACAATTCATGTTACCTTCCTCAATAATATAAAGACTCTGAAATTACTCAATTTCAGAATATCGATATCCACCAGCTTCCACTTTGACACTTTATTTGGTAAATCATTCCCTTGTTTAGATTCACACCTTTAGATTCACACCTAAATGGCTTTTTACCCACAGAGGATCATTATTTTGATAGGCTGTTTTAGACATAGACATCTTTTAAAAGCTTCATGAAAACTTATTCATAATCATGTTTTCTTGATTCAAATTCAAATTATTATTTCTTGTTGCAAACGTGCATATAAGAAATGCACAACATACCCGAGTGTAGGCCAAGGATTGCTTTACAGCTCATATTTACTTAACCGCTCCTAACCTTTTCAGTTCCCCTTTCGTTTATCTCCCCCTTACTCCCCCAAGCCCAAAGTACAAAATAACCCCAAACTTTCTATTTCCTCCGACCAGGTGATAACAAGCGGTTGCGCTTTTCTCTCTCAGCGCTCTACTGGTTCCTTTTGGTTCCTCTCCAGGTACAAGAAAACCAATCAGTCGTGGAATTGATTGGTTCCAAGATTGCAAGTAAAACAGGTGCGGCAGTCTTTAAAGGCTGCGCCGGGAGATACTTGGCGGGGGCGGAGGGGGGTCTCTGAAAGAGGAAGACTGGATGGCTTGTGACCCAGGTTAAAATCTCTGCTGGCTACTCCTGCCAGGTCTGCGCAACCAGGTAGCGATCGGCGCTCGGGGCGGGTCTGGTCTGTCAATGCACGTTGGTGGGGTAACCAAGCAAGTCCTCCCTCCCGACACAGGCACACACACACTCAATCACTCGCCGGAGCGGATCCGGCGGCGGGGAGGAGAGCGCCGAGAGCTGCCGCTGGAAGACGGACTGAGTGACAGCGGCGACGGGCCTGGGGTTGTCGGAACCTGTCTGAGCACGCAGCAGACGGGCTCGCCCCAGGGCTCGGGACGGGAGCTGTGTGCCTGCGCGCGCGCACACACACACACGCACAAACACGTAGCACTCCCCAACCTCAGTCCTTATTTTGAGTCTCCTCCCTCAAGAAAACCAATTGCAAGGCAAATGGGTCCCTCTGGACCCAGTCTCTTTCTCGCCCCCACCGGCTGTGTGAGCGGCGCCGACAGCTCCAAGCCGGGATCTGACCTCGACCACCTGGAAGTTCCCCACCGAAGAGCCCTCTAAACCCAGAGCGGGAGCTCCTGGCCGGGGATGTCCTGCGCATCCGCTGCGCTTTGGCGGCTCCCCCGCGTCCTCGGAGCCGCGGCGCCGGGCTCGAGCCTCTCTTCCCTCGCAGCCCTAATTCCCAAGCTGGGAGCCGAGGGTGGGCGGCTCGCCCCGCCGGGAGCCGCGACTGGGTTCCGGGACTCGCAGGGGACGCACCCTCCCCAACCCTGGGCAACCACCGGCCAAAACGGCGCTTCGACGGCTCTCCTCCCGCCAAGTCTGTGCGGTGGGCCATCTTCTGGAAGGGATGAGCGCCTCTTTGATGGTGCAACCCAGCAGGGAGAGGGGACCCCCGGACAGGCAGCGTGAAGCGCTAGACGGGAGGAGGAGAGGGCGCCCTGGGGTCCGACTCACCTCCCGTCGAACTCCGCGGCCGCCGGCAGGTAGAGCGAGGACCCGAGCACCAGCACAAGGAGCAAATCCATGTTGGCGGCCGCGCAGCTGCGCGCGGGGATCTGGCTAGGGATGCCGGGCGCGAGGAGAGGCGCGCTCGGCTCCCAGGAGGAGCTGCGGGCGCCGGGAACCCCCTGCGGCCGCCGCCGCTACTGCCGCCGCTCTGGGAGGAGAGCGGCGCGGCGCGCGGCCCGAGCAGGTCTGCGCCGCGGCGCCGGGAGCCCCCTCCGGCTCCCTCCCAGCGAGGGGAGGTGCTGCAGGGGGAGCTGCGCCGCGGGCGGGGAGGGGCCCGCGGACGGGGGGCGCGCGCGCCCGACTAGCCGCCCTCCAGCGCAGGGCCAGGGGCAGGGCTCGCGGCCCCTGAGCGGGAAGCTGGAAGGCGGGGGCGCAGAAGGAAGGCAGCGTCCCTTGGGGGCCAGCCAAGTGGGGCGAGCGCCAGGCTGGAAGGAAAGTTGCAAGCCGGGCCAGGGCAAGGGAAAGCAGGGTGCTCGGCAGGAAAGGGTGAGGCGGGGAGGAAAGGGGCCCGGGGCGTAGGTGCGCGCTCCGCGGGTTCCGCCCGAGCAGGTGGTGACCGCAGGGGCGCGCCGTAGCTTTCACCGCAGGGCGGAAAAGCCCAAGACCAGAGAGGTTTATGGAGCTTGAGCGGAACAGGGTCTGTATTCATTAAAACCACAGCACGACTTGGACAAATTAGCAAAGGCAAACTCTGGGAGTTGGCTTCTCCCGCAGAGTTGGCAAAGGCATATTTTTAATTTTGTAACCAGCCGAAAGAAATGTTGGGTTCTCCAGTTGAGTTTATAGAACGTGCAGACTGTTTGTTTCTCTGCCAGCTCAACTCCAGCACAATAGGACAGCGACGGCTGTCCCCTCCCGGGACACGTGCCCTCCAAACCGAGAGCTGTTACTGCTTAGCAGTCTCGTGGAGCCTGATCTTGCCCAGGTCATCTAGAAACCACTGTCAGCAAACATTGCTCGGTTGTAGAGTAAAAAACAATGCACTAAGGGACCTTGTTCATATGAAACACGCGATGATAACCCTAAAATACACATTAAAACGTAGCTCGGATCAAGTCACTCGACTTCTCCCCTGTGCATGATCTGCCTGCCATCTCCCATACCTCTCAGACCTAATCTCCTCCCTCTTCCCCTAGTCCATAGCCTCCTTGCCATTCCTGCACACTTCAGGGATTCCCGTCTTTGGGCCGTTGACTGGCTGTTACTTCTGCCTGTACCCAGATATCTGTGTGGGTCATATTCTCATGTCCTTCAGTTTTTGTTTGCTCAAATGTCATCTCTTTGTAGAAATGAACCATGACTACCCAAATTTTAAACAGCAACCTCCTCCCTCCAGATTCCCCCTGCTCTTGTTGTACTTTGTATTTTCTCTGTATGTCTCATCTAGTTTCCTATATAACCTGCTTGTTTCTTAAGTGTATGTCTTCTTTCTGCTAGAGTGCAAACTCTTCAAGGGCAAACTTTTTTGTTCGTGCCTCTAGAACTGTGCCTCATGCTCCTAAAGTTTTGTCAAATGAGTTCCTTGCACGGCAAACATTTTTTACTATCTTCATTTCCTTCTTGAGTTTTCTCCAACTTCAAATTTTTCATGGAAAGTTCTGTGGCACTGTGGCCTCACTATCCTGATCTCTTCATGTGTATAAAAACAGGAGTTTTCTGCAAGAAAAGAAAAAATAACGGTTTCAACTTAAACAACTCTTTGATTTCCAAATTGTTTTCTGTTAACAAAACAAGTTTCTATTTTAATCTCAGGAAATATCCATGCCAACTCAGGCTTGGGACATTATTTTAGGCAAACAGCTTGGTGTCATCCGTTTCATATCTTTCTAATGAAGCCTAAAAATGTAGGAGTCAAAATATTTTTTTCTGTAGAAAATCAAATTTTTTAACTCTTAAAAATGTAGGCTTGGTTTCAGGCTCCAGTGGCTACTCCTTAGCCATTATCTGCGTTTATTGGTTCCTGGGTTGGATTTGCAAATAAGTCCCACCAGCAATGGATAATTAGAGAGAAGGGACTAACCTACAGGCTAAAAATGAGATACAAAGAAAGGAGAATACATCATGGGTGAAAATAGATGGAATACCTGGAACAGAAGTGTAATGCCCATCTGTGTGCCTCTTTTATTTTTTCCGTATCTTTTCCTTAGCCTAGAAAACATTCCATTCATCATCTTTCTTCATTTGGACACTCTCCATTTACCATTTGGGTCCAAGCTTAGCTAATATTTACCCAGGAAGGGTTTTCTGATTTTTAGCTTGGCTTGAGACTCCTGTGGTATGTGCTTCTATGATATTATACGTCCCATGTTGTAACTTTTAATGCACTGTGTTGGAAATGCTTTTCTACCATTCCAAGGTCCCCAAGATAGTGATCTAATCAACAGAAGGGCAAGGGCAGTTGTTAGTATATGCCCAGCAAAGTACCTGGCACAAGGCTTAAATTCAACAAATATTAAATAGGTTGGATTGGATTGAATTGAATTCTACCTGCTGAACTTTAGCTTCTCCCTTGAGTAAGCAGGAGCTAATTATATCAGTCTTTGTTGAATCATGGATTGAGGAGACTCTAAAGGAATTCCAAGGCCTAACTGGTTAGTACACGACAGTTAATGATGGCCAGTGATCATTCCAGAAAAAGAGGTGAAGTTCCCATGGGAGTGGCATTTCATTATCAAGGTCTTCAAAACAAGAAAAAAACAGATCAAAATAGCTTTTTTGTTGTTTTTTAAGCAACATCTGTATTTTTCCAGTAGGAAAACCCCTTAGTTAGGTTTCGTATCACATAATGCACCTTGAAAGTAGTAATTCCAATTTTCTCACTCACAAATAATTACCACTGGGCACAATGTGACACAAATAAATAACAAAATAGAACCAAACAAACACAACTTAAAACACCTGGATGTTAGAAGCTCTTAAGTGTTTTGTTTTTTTCTCAACAAATATTTATTGAGACCTTACAGTGTATTGGCCATTTCGTCTCAGTGCCAGGACTTCAGCTAGGAGCAAGACAAAGTCATGGCCTAAGTTTACATTGTAGTTGGGGAGCGAGACAGCAAGAAAGGCTATGAAGAGAGGCTAAAGCTGTAAAGAGGGTAAAGGAAGGATAAGGTAATAGGAAGAGATGAGGTATGATTTTAGGTAGAGTGATTTGGTCACCAGTGGGAGGGGACATTTGAGCAGAGGCTGAATGAAGTGAGGATGTATGGTGAGGTGCTGTCCAGGCAGAGGGGAGAGATGCACTTTATCAAGGTGTTGTAGTGTCATGCAAACTGTTAAGCAAGCTGTTGCTCCCCCATCCTATATACAGTAGTGGCACAGGGACAGGAATATTGTTCTAAAAACTCCTAGTAAGAAAAGAGAAGGCTGAGGAACACACAGCTACTTGTTCACAGCAATTCTGACTCCCCGCTGAGCAAGAATTATGGAGGTTTTCTGCTCTGGCAGTGAGGAGTGCTTTGGCCAGACCATCAGGTCACCCCTGCTTCTACAGCCTTGCCCATTCATCCTCCATAGCCACATCAGAAGTGACCTTTGGAGCATATGCTATCCTTACGGGCTGTACATCATTTACAGTTCTTTTTCTACTGGTAAAAAATGTAAAGGCCTGAGTGTTGCTTTAAGGCACTAACAGACACAGACATTTTCAAGTCAGACTCATGGTTTCTGTGGCTACAAGATTTCCTTAAAACTAAGTCTCCTGATCTAATTGCTTCCAGTCAGTCCCTTGTGCGGATAACCATAATCAAAGTCCTTTCTAGTCCCAGTTCTTAAGCCTGCTTTCTTTCTTTTCTTCCTTGTGTCCATACCTTACTCTTTCATCTTAATGGAGGCCACCTTGAGGCTGGCTGAAATAATAGGGTTACTTGAGAGGGCAACACCCTTACGCTGATCCTTGCCACAAGGCTTGGATCCCTTTATTTATATTAATGTTTGGTATTCAAAGCAGTTATCTTTTTCAACTCTGGGAGACCTGAAATTTCAGAATATTCTCATTTCCTTCCATTTCTACTCGCAAAGTAGCCAGATCTTGGCTGAGTTCATCTCTTCCTTAAGGTACCTTATAAAAGCAACAAGGAGCAATAAAATACACTAGCATTCGTTTTTTACAATGATATTCCCTTTATCTGGATAGATGTAGGGCCTTCCAAGTGATCATGGGTAAAGATTTTATGAAATAGTATGTGGTAAGTGTTGTAAGTTTTCTAGCCTACACACAGCCGCTATAGTTGTCCTGCAATCAGAACATACACCTTCAAAGAAAAAAGGGATAATTCCAGTACTATTTCAGCTCTTCTAAAGTATCAAAAAAGGAATGCTACAAATATCTGTAAGTCATTGTGTTTAAACCTGAAGAAAAATAGCCTTTTCATATGCTCACAAACATACCCACATACATAAAACTCATTCAGTTATGAATATCAATGCAAAAGCCCTAAATAAATGATTAACAAGTATAATCTGTTAATATAGTAAAAGAATCCATTATAATCAAGTTGACAGAAAACCTCCAGGTGGGTAAAGGGTTAACAAAATCCTTTCTCCTTCTGCAGGAGAATTTGACCTTATGTTAACTTTCTACCCCTGTTCCCTGGCAACCTGATAAGGTGGTTTATGTTGCCATGTTACTGGTAAAAATGGACCCTGATTGATAAACTGCATTGAGACAGAGAGAACTAAATACACCTGAGAGCAGACCATAGCACTGGACCAACCTGAGTTCAATGACTCTCAGAACTGGGTATGTCCCTTGAAGAGACCTTGGATGCTATGCCTATGAGATGGTAACAAGAGCTAGTGGCTCCAGGAGGGCCTAAGGCTGTGAAGCCAGAGCAGTTTCACACCTGTGTAGTTTGCCTCATCCTGCACCTGAGCAATTCTGCTGTGACAGGCTCTGTCTTGCCAATGGGTTTCAGACCCGGGCAAGTTTACTATGGATTTAATGTGACCAAAGAAATGACAGCAGAATGTTCTTGGGGTGAAAAGGATATACCCAACTTTATTTCCATGGTGCTAGGTCAATCACTAGAATCCCGTCCACTCAGAATCCCGTCCACTCAGAGCGAGTCTGCATGCAACAACTGGTCTCTGCCTCTGGGCCTCTCTGCCCCTACAGCCATCTCAGTCTCTGTCCCCAGTGCTGTCACCACTCCAGTCTCATCTCTGCTCTCCTGCAGCCTTGCAGCCATGCCACTGTGTCACCCAGAGCACTGGGTGGAGCTCTTTATATAAAGTCAATAACAACTTGTCCACATGTGTGTAGTGAGCTAGACAACCAGGGCCAGGTAAGAATCCTGGCCACAGGAACTTTCATTTTATCCACAGGATCACTTAAAAACTTATTGGAAAAAATAAGAATATTTATTAAGAGTTACAAAAGTCATTAGAGTATATAGTACACACCATATGAACAAATTAAAACATAATTTAAAAATTAGCAACTTAAAAGATTGACCTTCAAATTTTTGTGCTGCTTGCTCTTTTCACAACTGAAGTCTTTGGTCTAATACAGCTCACAGGAGAACCAGCAAGCTGCAGACACCTTTGCTATTGATGTTTCTCACCCACCTTCGAATCATCCTGCTAGAGACCATGAAAGACTATTTCGTAGTCCTTTAATTCTATAGTAGTATCACTGGAAGAAGTGAAAC